AAAACGTTTTCGAAACACGTCAAAACGTTTCCGTTTCCTAGGTGATCAAAACAATACACCAAAACGATATTTTGATCCTTGATGAGAAGTTACCTCCTTTACTCTTATAATCGAGCTCTTGTTATCGTTGGAGCCCCTATGGCTACTTTTCGAACTGGGTGACAGGGAAGGTGGAATCTCTTCCTCGAATAACTCAGTCGGTTTGAGCTATCCTCACAGGATTTGAGTGAGCAATACTAACGAGTAGTTTGGATGCTCTTCCAGATCCTGCTCACATGTAGGTCGCGTGGTTTCTTCAGACAAGTGCCTAATCATAGCACTTGCTTTCTCTATGTCAAATCTATCTCTAGCAATTATTGTTACTCGTGCTCTCCCTTTTTCGTATGCATGTTCCTAATCATTTCTGGAGTGATGCTATATTGATTGCGTGTTATCTTATTAACCGTGTGCCCTTTACGGTTTTACATGGATCTTCTCCCCATTTTGTATTGTTTCCTCGGCCTCTGGTGTTTTCTCTTCCTCCCAAAGTGTTTGGTTGTGTGTGTTATATCCACAATCTTGGTCTGGGTTTTGGTAAACTTGATCCCCGCACTACCAAGTGTATTTTCTTTAGTTACTCTCGCACCCAAAAAGTTTATTGTTGTTATAGTCTTTTTGGCTGATTTTTGATGTTACCTTCTTAGAGTCTACCCCTTATTTCTTTGCTCTACCTGTTCCCCATACTTGTGTCCCTAAGTCATTCCTCTTATCAATCTTACTTCCTCTGCCCGTTTGTGTTCCACTTTCCTCAACTCCTGAGTCACCTCCTATTTTAGTGTCTCCTCCTGTACCTTCCACCACGCCCTTACAAATTTATTCTCGTCGATTGAGGCCGTCTTCTCCAGATTTTGTTTCACCACCACTTCCTCGTTGTCTTCGGATTTGGCTACTTTAGTTTTCTCCGACACTTTACTGATTACTCTTTATAAAAGTATTCGTTCTTGCGTTACTAACCATCCTACTAGTAACTTTATTTTCTCTCGTTTATTATCTCCTTTATTTTCTTGTTTTACTATCCAGCTATCTACTATGTATGTTCATAAGACTATTTCAGCTGCATTATCTGATCCACGTTGGCGGCAAGCTATGGAAAAAGAGATGCACGCTTGGATCTTATTTCGTTGCCTCCTGTTAAGCAGATTGTTGGATATCAATGGGAATACACCATTGCTTGTCACTTCTTTTTGAATTCTTCCAATAATTGTATTCACACTTTTGATGTGCTCTGTTTCCCAAACATAGGAAGTGTGTATAGTGTAGAAACTTGGAAATACCGAGGTCGTCTCCTCAGGGACAAATGGTAATTTGAATAGTGAATGTGTTTGCATGGTGAAGTAAATATCTTTTGGTTTTGTGGAAAATGATAAAAGTAGTAACTAATGTAGTAAATTCAAATGGAAGACAATAGGCCAATTCTCATGAATCATCTCATCATAATCAAGTTTATCAATTCTCTTTTTACAACTCATCAAAACTTATAATCAAATTCATTCGGACGAAAAATATTAAGCAAAATCCAGTTTTGAAACATATGTTGCTTTGAAGATAGGTAATAGAATTTAGAGTGATAAATACATAGATGTATACGTATACTTTAAGCATTATTCGTACCCGAAATCCGTTGATGAGAAATTATCATAAATCCTAGTTTTCTAATTTTACCATCTATAAAGTACACTACATGGTTAGAACATATCAAAGAATCAATATTGCTTAATCACAAATGAGAATCATCCCTCGAATCGCGTTGAAACTTAGCTAGAACCAAAACCAATTGAACCAAAATCAGCGATAAACATGTAAAACCAAAGGAAATAAACAAGAAGATTGAAAGTACTAATCTCAACTAGATTGCTTCAACATGCAATACTACCAACACAAAAGAAACTTGGAAAATACACCCTTCGGTTGCCTTCTTTGAAGCTTGGCTATCATAAAACCAAAGGTAAAACTCTAAACTACAAACTAAGCTAAGCAAAAAGACTTCCTTGTATGTAGAAATGTAGGTATATATAGCATTCCTTCCTCATTCATTATTGGCCAAGGAATGTGGTGCTAGTGGTGGGTGCGTGCCGAAGAAGTTTCCTCTGCCAAGATCGTCCAATCGGGTTCCTCTTGTGAAGCTTTGGACAAATTCATCTAACAAAAAATAGGACCTTAGAGATAGGTAGCCTCTCCTTGAGTGTGGAAGTGAATAAGAGTGATCTCATGGCCGGATGAGAGCTCGGGACTTGTGCACCGTATATGCGTGTATATAAACTGGTACAAAGGAACCAGTACATTGACTTCCAACAACCTGATGAACTTCTGATTAATTTCTGTAACCTAATGAACCAGTACGAAGGAGGATGAACCGGTATGAGCCACTTTTGCAGCCTGATGTACGAGTACAAGTTGTACCGGTACATCAGGGTCCTCTTGATTTTCCTACTTTGCTCTTCCAATTTCACTTCCTTCACATTGATTTGCCTTCCCATGATACTTCAATTGAATTCCCTTCATTTACTCTCCTCTCCTTTACACCTACAAATAAAAATTCCTACCATTAATCAAATTTCATCATAATTCGGCTATTTAAACAACAAATCGGTACATAAAATGAATGGATTAAATCCTGCAAGATGCAATATTGAGTGTATTGCAACCATTAAATTTCATCTGGATGGTTCTGTGAATCACTTCAAAGCTTGTTTAGTTGCTAAAGGCTACACTCAAACCTATTGACTATGTTGAGTCTTTTCCTCCTATGGCTAAGATATCTTCTGTGCAGGTTTTGATATCTCTTGCTGCTAATCCTGATTGACCATTATTTCAATTAGATGTGAAAAATGTTTTCTTACGTGGTGATTTAGCGGAAGAGGTCTATATGGAACAACTACCTAGGTTTGTTGCTTAGGGGGAGTATTAGGGGAGTGTGTTTAAGTTATAGAAAGCACTGTATGGACTGAAACAATCTCCACGAGCATTGTTTGGGAAGTTCTCTGATACGGTGTTGGATTTTGGTCTCCATAGAAGTCAGAGAAATCGTTCAGTATTTTATTTACATATTAATGTAAGTAATATTCGCATTATTGTTTATGTTGATGATATTGTGATTACCGGTGATGACAATGTTGGTATTGCCAAGTTGAAACAATTTCTATAGCATCGATTTCACAACTAAGATTTATGTAAACTTCGTTATTTCCTTGGTGTTGAAGTTGCTAGATCGAAATAGGGCATCAACTTGTATCAAAGAAAATATGTGCTTCACTTTTTAGAGGAAACAAGTTTTCAAGGTGATCGACCAATTGATGTTCATATGTATACTAACCATAAACTCTAGTGGATGAAGGTGAATGTTTCTCAGATTTTTGGACGGTATTGTCGGTTAGTGGGAAGTTAAATTATCTCCATATTATCCGATCAGATATATCTTATGCATTGAGTGTAGTAAGTCAATTTATAGAAGCTCCTCGAGTATTACGTTGGGATACTGTTATTCATATTATCAAATATCTCAAGCAAGCTTCCGGACTTGAATTGTTGTATAAATCTAATGGGCATTTTAGATTGAAAGGGTTGACAAATGCTGATTGGGTAGAATCCTCCTCTGATAAACAATCTATTGTATCTTTTTGGGAGATAATTTAGTCATGTGGAAGGGTAAGAAACAGATGGTGGTGGTACGGTCTAGTGCAAAAGCTGAGTACAGGGCAATGTCTCGCACGTGTAATGAGTTGACATGGTTGCAACACTTTCTTAAGTAAATTAGGTTTCCAATCGAGACACCAATTGAGTTGTTTTTGCGATAATCAAGTTGCAGTTCATATTGCTTCTAATCATGTGTTTCATGAGTGAATGAAATACATTGAAGTTGATTGTCATTTTATTCGAAAGAAAGTGTTGGGTGGAGACATTGTCACACCCTTTGTCAAATCTAAAAATCAACTTGTTGATATATTTACTAAGTCATTGAGTAGCTCTCGGTTGAGAGATATTTAATTCTAGCTGGAATCATATGATATATACTCACTGGCTTGAGGGAAAGTGTTAGAATATGGAGTGGCTTCTATGTAATAAACATATCCCAAGAGGGGTTATTAGTCTTTAGTTTTATTCACATACATATATATAGGGTGAAAGGGAAGGTAGGCCAACTTTTGACACTTCCTCTCTCTCTCTCTCTCTCAACATTAACACTAGAAAATGATCAAACTTCAAACAAAACTCAAATAGCTTAGTGTTACTGAAAATATGATACATGAACTATGGATGTGGCCCATGTCTGACAATTTATCAGAAAGATCCAAATACTTTGGGGAACTTCTAACCTTATAACAAACATGAAACTATACTCCGTGCGACCCAAGACTTGGTTAGACAAGGCCCTAATTTAGTTCCTTGCAGAATACAAACTTTTTTCTTTTTTCTAATTGTCCATATGTTGGGCATCACCTTTATTTTGATGCTTGAGTATTGGACTCTCCATTTATTGGCAGTTTTACAGAAGGTACTCTGTAATCTGCTGTTTACTTTCTGTGTTAACAGCAGTGAGGACAAGGTTGTCCACAAAGCTCCTGTTATTTGGTTGTCCACAAAGCAGTGGCTTATACTTTCTTCAAACTAAGTTGAAAGAGACTTTGGTGTATCTGCGGAGAATTTTATCTTGAGTTCAACTCCATCTTAAAATTTCTGTTTCTGACAGTAATTATGTGCACACTGTTACAAGATTTTTTGTGGAGTGAAAATTTTTGCATTCTTTACTAATGCAACCTTTTTTTCGGTAATCTTTGATCTAGATCGGACTTGTAGTTGTCATGGTTAGTTTTTGGTTTGTGAATTGACCAGTTCAAATGCTAAGGACATCATTTTCTGTAGCAAGAGATATTCTGATTTTTTGCTATATTGTGCTGTCTGACATGTGAATAGGACGTTTTGGGCTTTTGAAACTTATCACCAACTTACATTTTGTTTTAATATTGCTACAGAAGACACCTTAGATCAGTGCTTAAATATCTTGATGATTAATCAATTCTAAGAACAAATAAGCTCTATTGAGTGCCTTTTTGGTTTTTTTCCCCCTATTTTGCTCAATGGGAGAATTGTTTATTTTCTTCCATTTCCATTAGCACTCCTCAAAATTTGGAAACTTGCTGTTTGCGTCATGTTCAACAGAGACTCTATTCCACGAGATCTGTATATCTAGGAATTTATGATCAGATGCTATGTTTTGCAATTAACTTATGGTAATTTCATCGTGATTGATTTCTAGTGGGGGTACAGTTGCTGGTTTGTCGCTCGGATCATGCCTGAGTGAATTAAAAGCGAAAGTACACTTTCTTTTCTGATCTCTCCTCATCCGTTCTCTTCATAATGAAAATTAGTGACATCTTTTTATTGTCTAAGTTGTCTTCTTTGTTGTAGGTTCATGCGTTCTGTGTATGTGCTGATCCTAATTTTTTGTATGACTATGTTCAATGCCTACTTGATGAACTCCATGCAGGTGTTAACTCACACGATATAGGTAACATTCAAAATGTGAGCACTTAATTCAATTCAGCAAGATCATTTTGGTGAAAAGCACCTGTTCTTTCATTCCATAGCTTGTAATTGCTTGCTGCTTTATACTGAAAAGATAATACATCATATACTCGTGTATTGTGGCTACCCATATGTTTATTTTCAGAAAAAATGTCATGTATACCTGTATTCCTTTTTCACATGGTTATTTTACGTTTTGCCGTCGTGTTTGTCAAGGCCTATATTGTTTCCACATATTTAAACAATATTTTTAGTATGGTGAGTGCTGCAATGATGAATTGGGTGTTGGGTGGGAGGGGGAGGGGGACTAGGGGTGCTACTGCTTCCCACAATTTTGATTTCCCCCTTTTTGCACTAGTATCTGCTATGAATATTCCAAATATATATGCCCGCCCCCATCATATTTCCAAACACTTAAGAGGCCGTCCTTTCTGTAAATTATTATTCCCTCTTGGCTAGAATCCTAGCTTAGTCCCTAGAACACTTGGGCTTATGCTGAGGTTTTTCTTAATAAACTGATGAAGTAACAGGAAATATTAGAACATAATAATTAATAAATGTATGACATTTTTTCTGTAGTTTGTTATAGATCTTTTTTCCTCTTAATTTATTAAGTACTCAAAGACATTGAACTTGGGGATGCTATTGATTAGTTGATTTAATATCAGACATATTATTTTCTCTGTCTCTTACAGGCCATAGGTCTTGGCTATGCTAGGAATACCACTGAGGAGCTTAAATTTATCAAAGAAGTTGCTGAAGCTACTGGTGTTATTTTGGACCATGTTTACAGGTTTGAGCTGTTAACTTTGTAGTCAACACCTTCTGAAGTTGGTTCATTTCTGTCCACTGGTGTGGAAATTTCCAAATCATATCTTTGGTTTGGAGAATTGTTAAATGGATTATGACCTCATTTGGCTTTAATACATTACTCATTTACATGTTTGACTTTCATCTTGTCACATTAAAATGTATTGACCATAGGGTACTGTCACATACAACATGTCTCGTACAAGGATCAAAATTTTATTTCAATGCATTTTTTCGGTCATTTCGAAAACAGAAATGTTTCGAAAAAATGATTTGTTGAAATATAAATATTTAAGTTATACCATCTCCAACAGCTTGCGCTTTTAGAATAGATGGTTGTTTTACATAGTATCAAAGTAGGAGTTCTCATGTTCAAATCTCGCCACTAGCCTGCACGTAAGGGTGCGTGTTGAAGTGTAAATACTTAAGCTACACCCTCTCCAATAGTTTAAGTTTTTGGAGCAGATGATTATTAATAAGATAAAAATAAAGAAAAAAATCTAGACACGTATGGAAACATATGGACGCATATGTTAAAATATGTAAATTTGTATAGATAAGTTTAAAAATTGATTAGTTGAACATGTTTATTATNATTCTCTCTACCACCTATAAAGCCTCTTGAGATAATAGATACCTTTCCAATGGGCTATTGGTGTTGCAGCTCATCCTAATGCGGCTGAGCTTTGTTTCTTTCTTGGTGCCTGCACTCTATATACCAGGCCCAATGGCCCTTTTGGATCAAGTCCTCAATCTGATCCTTCAGAACTTGGCAATCATCCGTATTATGGCCGTGATCTTGGTGTAAGCAACAATACTTGTCTTGGGACCTTCTATTAGGATGAGTCTTAATCTTCCCAGGCCATTGGAGAACTTTTTTATCCTGTATCTGAAATAGAATTTGTTCTACAAGGGTATTCCGAGGGGTATACCTCTATGTTGTTTTGCCCGAGGTGTGCGGTCCTAATCAGTCCCTCGCACTAACCTTTTCAATGCAGTTCTCTATGTGATTCTTTTTAGGGCGCTAGCCCTTTTCTTTCTACTTGGAGGATCTTGCCTCCTTTTATCATCTTTCTGATCCTTTTGTCTATCCTCTTGACTTCTTCGAGCTAGAAGAGTGTCTTCGGCATTCATGTAACATTAAGCTCTTGCCAGGAGCTCGGCCATAGAAGAAGGTGGTTCCTTGGAGAGAGAGAAGAGGAACTAGGAGGAATGAAA